TAATATAATATCTCCAATGATGTTCTCTGATGTTTACATATGAGGTTAACACAGCAACCGCCCAAAATCCAAGTTATTTTATTTTTTTATACTAAGCCAAATACATAAACCCAACAACCGGTATACTTAACCATTTCAAATCAACGCAAATGAATACCCTAGGTTTCAAAGCGACTGTTAAAATAACAGTCCGATAACTGAAGATTTGAGTACATGCGACTTGTGACACCACGTTTTGGCGCAAACGATTCGATGACTTTCACCAGTCACAAACATTAAACATTCTACCCACTTAGGTTGACTGTATTAATGAGAACTGCGGACAACCTCTCAACTAATCTTGCCATAACTACCTCCTCTTCGTGACTGTGTGGTCTACTTGTAATTGTTACTTCGGCTTCAAACTGTTTCTGACGAATTTTCCGAGTTTGGGAATGAGTGAAGTAACCGAACTATTACGTCTCCTTTCTGTCCTAATGAACAAGAGTATGTACCAAGTGGTACGTCGACCAGACCGGGTGGATGAGATTACTAGTTCGACGACCCCGGTTGGAAATCCAAATGATCACCTTCAAGTTCGCTAAATACTTTAACGAGAGAGTCAACTGAATCCAGCCGAATCACTCGTTCACAACGGTCTTTTTCAATTGAATGTGCTGCACCATGTCACCTCATGTTTCAGTTGGTACGATATTCCAGATGTCACAGCACATTGTGTAGACGTAACACGCTGCTCATAATTTTACTGAAAACCCTGCGAGAACCTGCGACCGGTCCGGTTTCGTCCTTCCTTGGGTTCATCAGGAAGGCGCGGTCCCCGAGTTTCTCTCAACCTTACATTTACACCCGAACCCGAATTGCAAGAAATTAGATTTATACATTCATCTGTGTACGAATTTGGTTTTAACGAGGGAGACTCAAGTGAATTTTAGCTGAACTTCTCATTCATGATAACCTACAAGAAAAAGATATCCTAGGATGTCTCGGATTTTCTACCAGGTGAAGCAAGAAGCGTCCCGACGCATCATATTCAGCGGAAGCAGATCATCATAAACAAGACAATCAGCTGGAATCAGCTGAGTAAACCGTTAGAACAGCTTTTGGGCGAATTCCACCCAATTTGAATTTGAGTAAAATATAAGGTTGACGGAGACTCGAGGACTGCGCCTATCAGGTAAGCACCTAAAAGGGCGAAACCGGACTATCGAAGAGTCTAAAGCAACCTTACGAGTAGCTTGCTGCCTTCTATTGTTTCAGAAATGAAAAAACGACCTCGACGCAATTAACTGTAATGAAGTTTCGAAATACTTCAGCATATCAGAACATCTACTGACCGAAAATAACAGTTCCTACGAGCGTTCGGGTTTTCCTATACAACGGCTCAACTTTAACATTCAAATAGAATATCCTCCCACAGTGAGATCCCGACTTTTCTTTCCATCTATATTTTCAACTTGTCAGCTATGGCGCAAGGAAGCTCTCTACTTTTCTGTGGAGAATTTTCACATTTCCACGCTCTCTCTCTCTCTCCAAATCCAGAAACATATATCTTACTGAACTTAGAGCAAAAAACCACCCACATCGAACGGTATGAATGCATCAACTGCCTCGCGTACTAACCGTAGAGTTTTCTCATTTTACCTTCAGCTGTTTTGTCAAGTGTCTTTGGTTTCAACACCCTTATTATACAGTATTCCATGTGCTTCTTTGCGCTTGCGGTCAAAACGACAAAGTCAGCGAGAAACCGCCATAGAAAGTCGTCAGATCCGACATACTGATCCTGCCATAGGTTTTACTGGTGGCGTCGTACTCAAGAGGTCTATTGAAGTGTAAACAGTTGATGGTCAGAATATCGGTAATGAAATTCCGACACCGAACGTTTCCTTGTTTTTTCGTAGCAGTACGTACTCGGATGAAGCGACGACCGAAGGACAAAATATCATGCCCAATCGAGGAACGCTTATGATAATTTGTGGTCCAAGAAAGTCAGAATTGCAGTTCGAAAAAGGGGCATTTCCGACCTTTCGATATTCTTTTACAAGAGATACACTTTTCGCCATTTCCTCCTCACCTATCCTTTTTATCGAGCCACCTACCTCAATGTGTTTTGCTCTCATGGGTCCAGCAATCTGCATTTTAGCTACCTTAGCTTTCTTAATTGTCCCGTTGATAGTAACCATATTTAACGATGAATGATAATAACGCGACAGATAACATCACCAAAATCGACAGAACATCCATCATGTTACCATGATGTGACTCATCCCCGGTTTCGTTTTGCTCGCTTGATGATTCTATTGGCACTACTACTTAGGGTAAAAGATAGCGCTGATACTTGGAAATCGGAAGTAGGGAGGCGGCGCCTCAGTTAAAGAAAGGGAGATTTCTTCGGTCACTCGGCCTGTTTTGGATATTCAGATGTGAGAAGCAAATCCAGTCATACGGCTCATCCATGTTCCATTAAATTCGGAACAAGGGAAATGCAGCTAAAGTACGTGAATACAACGGGCCTAGGAAATGTGAACAGCATTTCTTATTGACACGAAAAAATGAACACTAGGATAAGATTTCCAGGGCTCGGTTTCGCAACATCTCAGGTGATTTTTTACCGCCGCCATTTAAAATGTAAAACGGACACAAAGTATGTACTATAGAAGCCGACAAATGTGACACCGGAAGGGAACCGTAAAAATCCATGCTGGGGGTACGGCACGCATAAGCAAAAAAAGGATCCCGTTTAGCCACTGCTCCGTCTCGGTGTCCAGCTGACACGCCACCCGAAGGTAGAAGGCGATGTGAAATACTGCCAGGTTGCCCAAGCCTAGACAGGAACAGTTGGAATGCGGAGTTTAAGTTCACACCTTACTCACTGAGCTTTCTCAATTCGATCATACCCAGGAGTAGAGAGCCGTAGTTTGCAGTTTTGCAGTGCTATCAAAACAATTATGCGCCTGACTTTAGACAAACTCAAAACATTATTCTGAGCACCGAATTCTGGTCTGGGGCGTTTGATGGCACCGGTTTCTACTCACTACTGAGAAGGGACCGACTCTGAAACGTGTCCAGGATTCGTTTCCTAATGGATATGAGCAGAACTTTATTGGTTTGACTATTGGGAAACTTCCTGAAGATGCACTTTTCTTCGAAATACGCAATTCCTTCCAGTATACACTCGAGCAGCACAGGCAGCTTTTATTTACAGATGACAGCGGCGATTTCACTGTTGCAGGAATCATCCATCTATTAAAACAATTGAGGCGGTGACTGGTATGATCGGACAAATTATCTACTCTGAGTTTGTTAGATGAAAACATTCCTTTCCTGTCGAATGAAGTAGGTCTATGCTCACAGTACTTGTTATCGAGTTTGCTGCTAGGGTTCATAGATGAAATTTATTTTAGCACAAGAAAGAATCAGATTCGTCCAATCCCTCCCCTCGAGCTTTCGCCGTTTAGTTCAGTTAGCGACCGGAAACGCTCGAACATATAACACCCGAAATAGACGTGTTCGAAGAATCTCATCCCTTAACAAGGATAACTAGTGAGCCGTCGGGTACCACACAGATGAGAATACGGGAACCTACGCGGGAGTGAAAAATGAACACTAAAAAATGAATTCGTAGTTAATAATACAAGTGTTATTGGTGTCATTGTCCACCATGAAGTTGAAAGGTGTCTTGCTCCGCAGTTCTAGCCGGAAACCTCTGGGAGCACAAAAATTTCAAATGTCTTTAGGTGTGATTACGTCTCAGAGATTAAAGAAGCAGCTGAATGATACAATTACCTAAACATTCGTGAATACCACAGTCCCCTAAACAGCAGACAATGTTGACTGGCTCCAATCTCTCGCTGCTCAGAGTGCGAGATGGACTGCAACATCCCGTTTTGTGAATCGGGATGACCAAGGCGGATTTGGACAATCTTTGACACCTATACTTAGTGCAAACCGTCCTTCGTCGTGTAGAAACTGAGACCACCAACTTCGGTGGTGGATTAAAAACGCCTGATTGTAAGCATCTTTAGGAAAAGCTATTCGACCTCAACAAAGGTCAGCTGGTCGAAGCAAATGAGCTAAGTCATTTGGGTCAGGTGCACCATATACCAAAGGATGGGCCGTCCATGCTGAACTCTCTCTAGCCGTATGCAAGGTAGAAACGTCTCGGACTTGACAATGGAGTATGGAAGCCGTACCAACGGGATTGGTCGCGTTAGTAACCAGTTCCCTTGGATTTCGAACCCGGGAGGGAGGTACGTGTTGTGTCGTCCGGAGGTAACCCGTCAACTCGCGTAAGGAAGAAGCCAAAGTCGAGCACAGGAACAGGTCTTTTTTGCCGCGAAGTAAGGCGGTTTATATACATCGGAAAAATGGCATGAATTGGCTGAGACTTTCTCTTCAACCGAATAACCAATAGGAACCAACAGTTACGCACGATCCAGCAGAAAAATAACGAAATGCAACGGCCAATAGGAGTCACACGTGAGAGCGGAACGAGGATGAATCAATAGGGACTCAGCACGATGCAATCTGGTGGCTGAACGTGTGGTGACGACAAATATAAGCAGAATGTGAGAATTGACCAGAAACGATCAGTCCGTAGTTAAGACGAAATTTGAGACAATTAACAGTTCCGTTCTGGTAACAGTACGGATAGTTTGTGGCGTCAACGCTATCGCCTTCGATGCACGGCCATTCCGCTCTCTATAGCAAAAATGCGTATTCAATAGCATGAATTTCCGAGGCCAACATTTCCAAAACGCTGTTACCATATTATCAGTGAGGAAAACGGTGAAATTAGACCCAACAAATCTTTTATGCACAATTTACAGCTGATGCGTCGAATCGAGCAGGGGGACCATTGGAGATGGGCGAGCTGGCGCCAATTTACTGACTGGAAGGTCCGTGGTTAGAACCCGACTTCTGCCTCTCGACTTCCCCGTCTAGGCTTGGGCTACCCGGAAAAGTTGCTACAGCTGAATGATTTATTTCAGGACTTCTGACTCTCGGAATACAAACATGATTTAACAAACTGCAAATGTTGTCATGTCGGTTCCATTAGAAAACATTTTCCCAGCCAACCCAGCTGAATGAAGTACATAAACAACACAGGCTGTCTCAGTGGTCATTTTTTATCGAAAACATTTGGTGAAGGTGCACGGTAACAAAAAGGTAAGAAAATCTTGCAACCACCTCAAGACGATTACAATAAAAGGAAAAGCAAGGGGAGTTTAAATGCCTTACATTCCCGGGGATCATCTCAACACATCGCGCGGCGTTGATACTCTGCAGTAGCAACAGTATAGTTCTCAAGTCGGAAGTAAGTCTTCTGTTTGGCGCGCAAGAACCTGGCAAAGCAAAGGTAGGGAGAAATGACATCATCCATCTGTCAGGACTGTTCAAAATGATGTTGAACACAACAGAAACGTGCTAGTGGCCTGCGGAAACAAGTGTGGAGCAAACGGAGGACATATGCGGGTCGGTAATAACCATCGATTTCTGTCACTCAACTTTCAATCAATATTTCGGAGCATTCTGTATAACAGATAATGTCGTAAAGCCAGGCTATGTACGTTAAATAGTGACCAGTACGCCAAGATTGTTTTAGGTATATTTTTTTCGTACTTCATGTTTAGGACATACTGATCACATGAACAGCTCTAATGTCCAGCCGTTTCCTCTGATTATCTGCAATTTTAGCACGGGGACGGCTTTGTATACCCACAAAAGTCCCCATAACGACCATCCAGCCCTGAGAGCTCCATTGATGGTAAAAATTAGTGTGCTGCTCAACAAAGAGTAAACATTGAGGGAAGAGAGCTCCTCCCTGGAAAAGACCACGCGGCGATTCCACTTATGTTGAATTCTCAAGAGGGAGATAACTGCAGTAACCGAACAAACAAACAGCCCAAGCTCACGTGGGAACAAGGTGTGTTGAAAATATTGTCGATGGCCTAACCGACGAAAGAGAATCCTGACAGCTCAGCTATCCGAGCATTCAGCCCTCACAACTGGATATCCGCCACTATATGGGTCTGTTAAGCATCATAGTTACCGACAGCACAACAGTAGTCTTGAACAGCGATGCTTCACTGCAGTACAAACACTTGTCTGAAAACGCTAGTGTGAATGAGAGACAATCGGGATGGAAAGTGACAACGCCAATGACGTCGACTAGCAGTCATACTTTGCGGCGGCTCCAGCCACGTACAGGACAGATCACGCTGATCTCATCCGAGAGTACATAGAATGTCCGTAGTCACTTTCATACTCCTCATCAAAGTCAAAGGTTGATCACTCCCTCGAGAGCCCCTCCCTGGGTTGTAAGTATTGTATTCAATGACTATGTCCAAGAGCATAAACTTATATATCAGAGTGCCAAAGGGGGGATGACTTTGGTCAGTTAACCCAAAAACAGCTGCGCATTTTTATCCTCTTAGAAGATTAGAACGATATCGTCTGCAGATTCCAGTAGCCATTTGAACATCCGGGTTTCAAAGACCTCCAAGCGTTCGTCTCTTTTACTCTTTGATCATGAAATTAAATAACAATGGAGAGGTTGAGCACTGTTGACGGACACCACATTGTGTAAGGAGGGTATTGGAGAGTTTTCTTATAATATGACGCCGAAAGCGTGCGAACGGAAAGGACTTATGTCCACAAACTTTCGTGGCATTCCTTGGTGGGTAACTGTGATAAGGAGAACAGACCGGTCAACCGAGATGAATACACCTTTGAAATCTAGGAATGCTAAAGTTGTGAAGCGCTTATACGTATGGCGCTGTTGTTGCAACTGACGGTGTAAAGATCTGGTCAGCGCGAACCAAACTACGGTCGATTCAAGGCTCCAGTGTCCACTATAAGGGGACAAACGGCGAATGACATCAAGAATCACATTACGACTGAAGTTAAGCTGAGCCCTCTGTGATTATCGCACTCGTTACGCACCCCTTTTGAAAACTGGATACCATTGCCGATTTTCTTCAGTTGTTTGAGACAGCCTTCTTTTCCCATATGAAGACAAATAGAACAGACAAGTGCTGACTGACAATTTTACCTCAATCCTTGAGCAATGGAGGTGAAAAGTCAGCAAGACCGAAAGCCTAATGGCCGTAGGGCGTTTTAGCCTCACCGTTCAGGATCATACTTCTGTTATACTGTCCAAATGAGTGGCATTTGGTGCCCACGAGAATTGTTGTTCAAAAGACTCGGCCAGTGGTTGAGGCGTCCTTGTTTATTCAACATGGCCACACCGCTTTCACCCTTGATGGCCTCACTCACTGGTGGTTTCCGGGAATCAGAAGATTAACTGAAATAATCCCCAAGCACTCTCGACTTTTTGGACCTTCACCAATTCCTTAACCCTCTATGTCCACCAGGCATACTTAGTTTCACTATGTAATCCCCTTCAACGAATGCATCTACAATGGTTTCGGGGGCCCATATGGAGTAAATACGACTCCACAGTCTGCATAACTGCGCTGCTCCCTTCCACCTTGGAAGATATTGGACGATTTTATGCGATAAGAGTATCTTCAATTCTGTGTGATCTGCGCTTCTGATTGCTGGAAATCAAAACAAAAAACGAAATTGTCGTGAACGCAGACTCACATTCTCAAAGAACTATGTGGATGAAGGTCCCAAAAGGCTTTCCAGTGAAATATCGACAGCTCTGTGTCTCTCAGTGGCTAAAACGAGTGCTGATCTCCTCGAAAGTACATCACGCATATGATTGTCGAAATCTGGGTCCTTCATTGAGTTGCATTCCTCAGGGTATGTTTGTGTGAAGCTGACAAGCAAATGGTTGGAGCTGGTTTCACTTAAGACAAGTTTTAAAGTTCTTAAGCCGACTGTTTTTCCTACTAGAATTCTAGCAACGAGTGGGCAGAACAGTCAACTGTAAGGAAAACCGAAGGGCATAACGGGATACCAGTTTCCTGGAGTTTGAAATAAAAATGGAAAACACAAGGCCATCGGGCGCCTTGTTTCTCCTTCTCAAAACGAGATTATTTTGGAAAGAGTCAACTGACCTACAGAACCCATTCACTGCACTACTACATTAATGGAAAGGTGCGTCGGCTTGCAGTACGCGCGAAGTATATATATAGGGTTAAGACCATCCTGTCCAGTTCTCATGAGGGCATTTTATCAGTACGAAGAACTTTGACAGCACTGCACAACGGAGTTTTTCGAAAATAGAAAAACGCGTTTTGATTGCAAGACTATATCTATAGGCTGGAGGGAAGATCGATTCTGAGTACTGTATCTGAATCAGAAACAAACAAATTTCAAGCCGAATAAATATGGCAGTGAAGCATCAGTGCCAACACTGATGTTGCTGTCTTTGATGATGATGATGATAATGATGATGATGGCTTCAGGTTCTGGATGGTCGTTGACGGTAACGAAGTATAGGCATTTACCGTATGAATACAAATGAAGACGTATAAACAGTTGTGTGTACTATGAAAGAGCTTTTTGACGAGGGTGAAAAGCTGCTTCGTTAGTCCAAAAGTGGTATCACTGGTTGGCACAGTACAGTCTAGCATATGCGTCCATAGGACTAGTGAACTTTTGCAGTGGCACCGGGCGATTCCACTTGAACAAGACTAACATGCTGTTGACGTTGCGTACACATGAGTCGGTTGGTACTCCGCACAAGATCAAGTAAAGTACTAACGAGAGTATGTGAATATAAACATGTAAATGGGGAGTTTAGAAATAACCTAACGAATTGCAGATGGCTTACTCCAAAAACTCATTGACCAATGTTTCCAGAACAGGTAACCCAGATGGATCGACTCGCGTGCAAGAGACCATTTCGCGCAGCTTTACTAGACAAACCAACGGGAGGGGGAGGTGTAAGTGAATAACAACAGGGAAAAACGAACGCAGTTGTGTGTGCGTCTACGGAAAAGTTGAGAGGATACAATTCGAAAGTTCCACCTTTGTTTCCTGTTTAGGTTCGTTACGTTGCGGATAAAAATTAGGCTACTAGTGAGTAGTCAAATATGAGAAAGTTTTAGTTGTTCGTCTATGGTTCCAGAGCTGTTCAAGATCAAGGTGGCAATTTGATTCCTTAGACCAGTGATGCAGTACTCTGACTAAGCTGGAGAATAGGTGATATTAGGGCCGTAACGGAGAGTACAAGCAAACGGATAGATATATACTAAGAAGTTTATGGACTGGGTGGACAGATGAATTTCTTAGCAAGTAAATCAGATCTGTTGATCCAGTTCTTGCGCCGGACACTAAGAGGTTGTTGAAGCGGCAACAGACGTTGTTGGTTTGGTTTAAATAGCAGTTCACTGAGTCCCTCAATAAAAAGCAGTAGTGTGACATTGCTCAAATGACCCAATTCCTAAAGACTGAGCACACTACTCACAACAAGCTGGTGACAAACTGGCCACCAAAACCAATACACTAATATATCGGTTTGCTGAGTCACACTAGTGGCATAGAGACTGAATGGCCTTCGTGCAAAAAGGTGAGACATAATGTGGTGCCGCATCAGCTATCATACCGCTACTGACCCACTCTGAGAAGGGACCTTTATGCCCTGGTGCTCTAGAGTTTCTGTCCACATTCACTTCCTCTCCACAAGAGGTTATGTCATGTCAATTGATCCGGATGAGGAGGGGAGGAAGTTGGAGACCACTTAGTCAACAGTAGACACGTGGTCACTGTAACTGGTGAGGATAGCTTGTAACTTCGAAGGCGAAATTCAAGTTGAGCAAGTGACGAGGAAGATAAAAATTATTTACATGATGTTTATACTCAGATATTAGGGCATCAAAATCCTCTTCTGTTTAAGTGATGGACCAAACTTGAAGGTGGTGGAATGGCTTGCATGAAAGCTTTTCTCGGTGAGGTGAGAAAGTGAAATTGTCGCGTCGAACATCAACACTCTAGGTTTTTTAAGTTCCACTGCGGAAATGAGCAGAAAAAAAGTGTCATTTAGGCCCATATGTCAAGGAGGAATGTATCCGATTTGAGATTCCGGTATACTAACCGGCAGACTCGAATAATCTTATCGCAAGTATAGGTCGACCCAACTCATAGATGCTAGAATATCCTCCAAGATGCAGCGAAGTGTTGGATTATGTATGGATCCCCAAGTGGAAATACTGAATCTATAAAAAATTCAAGGAGATTGAATGTGTTGTAAAAAGGCTGCATCTGTTCCGGTTGAGTCTCTCCTTAACACCAAAGTAGCTTCCAAATGAGTATAGTTCGTCAATCTCATACAAAGTGGTGCTCGACCAGAACACAAAGTGGACGGAAGCTCCGAAAGTGCTCCTACCCGATGGCCCCTAAAAAGGGATGAACCTATAGTGGGTTGTCGAAGAGGTATCAGCAACGTTATACATCGTGTGTTACGTCTGGACTCAGTAACACTTGCACCCGCTATCTGCCCTAAAGTCGCGGGTGCTGAACCAGCTGGTTCCACTAAGACTATTAGAACAGATGAAGAGCTCCGGATGATATCGTCTTTCCGGTTTTAGGGAATGGCTATACTGCAAAAGCCCGCTTAGCCAAAGCGCTAACACAAAGTCATGTTCTCGATATTCACACTAGGCAATTCATGATTCGAACGCAACACTCCTGAATTATGTGCAGTGAATGTATGATGCTCATCCTCATGCATGTTGGGCTGTGCCCATACTTCATTCAGTCAACGATGAGCCTGACCTTACCCACCACAGTCAGATCTACCACGCAAACGCTAGGACAAATAGTAATGAACTGAAACGAGCATCCTTATACATCACTGAGACCCACGTCGATCAACCGACGGCAGGCTTCTGTTGCTGACGAAGAATACTTCGCCTGACCACAAATTACATAAGAAGAATAAATCCACTCTAGACATGCGCTCATAATTGGTCGTTCTTGGAAAGTGAAAAAATAATTCACATGTAATTTTTATGATTATATGCGTCCTTCAGATGATCGAAGACAAATCCATGAAGCATTGAAATTCACTAATTAAGCAAAAAGGCAATCCCCGGCAGAAAATTTCGCCTAAAGAGACGACCTGGTAAGCTGAACTCACTCTGAACAACTATAATAGTCGTTCAACTACAACACCTATTCAGTGCCTACCACGCCTCCCAAAGGAAGAAACCTCGGGCACTATCAGAAAACTGACATATTTCAAGAGGGAAACGTTAGCTTCAGATTATGGTACTTGATGCAATACGTTATTGTGACAGGATGGAAGAGGACACCTAGTGCATCTTAAGAGGGTGGCGGCACACTGAACCATTATGTTATGGCTAACCAAAGGTACCATAGAAATGATATTAAATCTGAACACCACATGTCTAGTTGGTCGCGGAGCGCTGATAATGTGTCATCCCCATGGTACGCCGAAGTTAGTTGGCGAATACAACACAGATACTCAAAACAGCAACCATACAAGTCCAGAAAACAGAATGGAATGGACTACCATTCATGCTACAGACCATTTGAGCATAACGGACGAACGCCCAGATGTGAACAGGCACTGGAACGCTAGCTCAACTGCTTTAGCTACCTTAAATTGTTACTACTGAATTCTAGTTAGTAAGCCAAAATTTTAAGATTCCCGTAAAATCTCGACAATGCAAGCATAGACGGAAGCATTTACCGAATAGTCGGAGCAGGTGAATAGATCCATAGATATCAGACATTCGTTTATCTGTATGCTGTTTCAACAGCTCTGCATACTGTAGGCGCTCAAATTTATATAGCAACTGCGATCCAACGACTTGGTTGAAATAGTGCTGCAAGCCAGCAATGAATTCATGCCGCAGATCGGAAGTGATCGGTAATTTACACTGTGGTGCAGGCATGTTCTCTGAAGGCTCCGGTTTTACGTCGTTTGTGTTTGCATACTGCAGGAAATCAAGCATAATTGAAGATATTGGATAAGGAGCAGGAAGTTCGTAGAGCTGAAATTGTGGAAAAAGTGAAGAGGGTTGAGCAGGAAAACAGAGATGTCTCAGCCGGATTAAAACATGAGCGTTGGTTAGTGTACATATTCAAATTCAGAACTAACAACTTATATGAGTGGTTATTCCTGATCAAGGACCTTTAAACAGTTAGTGTTGGAAACTCGTATGTTCTGTCCATAAGGTTGAAGCACTACACACCAGGAGTTCTCTCCCTGTAGCACGTACACAATTCCGTGTACGAGCTAAGACTACGACCATGGTGAGTGTGTCAAATCGATAAAAATGTGCATTATTGAATTAGAAGATACATTCACTCATGGTATAGACCATGACCCGAAATGAGTCACGTGACCAATGACATCGACCAGTAAACACTTAGTTCGACATGACACAGTTAAATAGTTCGCAATAAAAACTTGGAAGGTGCCACAAGTGACTGATTATATGAATTTAAGCCTCACCAGTGTGGAACGCATAACAGATCAAGTTACCTTACTCTACACCCACGCTGAAATACAGAAATATGACTGACATCCGAAGAGGGCCAGTCGCCGGAGGATTGATGAGCACCCATATGAACCTAGTGGACGGCAACTTTAGCACACAGAAACAGAAGCACACTAAAAACGGAATATGTTCGATATGGAAACCAAAGCCACTGGTGTATTACAGAAGAACGGGAAGGGGATACTGCAGACTCTCATTGCAACCAGGGGCTAGTGGGTATTACAGAAGAACGGGAAGGGGATACTGCAAACTCTCATTGCAACCGGGGTCTAAAAGCGTTTCGGCATGAGTTCAGTTTACATACCCAAGTACGGCACTGTCCTACTCCTTATAAACATACACCCGGTTGAACTTGCTTGTTTGACAAAACAAGCCGTACACGACCGCAGCTATTCCGCTAACAAATCCTCTTTTACATGCCTAGAAGCAAGCTCCAACCTAGTGGAAATGCCGTGTAACGGTAAGGACTATAAAGCTACCAGTGTAACAATCAAAGAAGTCTGCACAAGTTGCAGTCTTTTTTTAGCAGGGTCGCTCTACTTACTGACTGTACTCTATTGAGAGTCGCAAGCATAAATCGGGTGAAATTTACTCACATTCACCAGACCCTTGTAACGGGAAATAAAGAGGTACTTCTGCGTGGGAACCTCGGACGAAAACTTACTCGGGCCTGCCTCGTAATCAGATCCCAATCATCCACGAGCCAAGCCTTTAAGCTGGAGGGCAGATCCACTTTCAGCTGAGGAGCAGTCAAAAAACCCTCCTCCTGAAACATGAGAAAAGACAACGGAGAAACCCAAGGTGTGACAAACAGGTTGGGGAAAGCCGACAAATGTGTGAGCCGGGTACACATGCTGTAAACGAAAGGGTCATGTAAACAACAAAAGTTGAATCTACAAGCTGAATATACATGCAGTATCAGCTGGATAGCCGCGGAAAGTTGCGTAACATCGTGTACGTAATTAACGGCAGTCATCTCTATTCATTCGGTTAGTACTAATGAACAAAGAGGGCACAAGTGTGTTGTGTTGGTCGTAGTTGCATATGGACACACTGACTGCAGCCTGAACAGGAAACGAGAGAATTTCTATCAGTACTACCACCAGAGGTGCGACAGCTTGACAAGGTGGCAATCTACCTGATAGAATAAGCTATTTGTCAATGAGCTAAGCATACTTCGGTGGTCATTTCGGGCTAGCGGATTTCCGCTCCAAGGACGATAACAAATGGATCGAATGTATTACACATTGGACTGACAACTCGTTTGAGCTCGAGATAGCTGTGATCGAGGCGCGAAGTTGCTGACCAGAAGGTCCGGCTTTTCCATCTCGACTATTCCGTCTAAGCTTGGGCAACCTATCGGTGTCGGGGCTATCGTGAATCCTTCGGGTAATGTGGCAGTTAGGCACCAAAATCGTGTTACAGACGAACGATTTTACCACCCGCTCGCCACCCTACTAGAGCGGTGATGGGTATGTCATGAAGGCACTACTATGGTAAGTTATACAGAGGAAGTGAAGTATTCTGCCGCAATTTCCAGGCACTTTGACATAAAAGTGTTTAGACTTGTCTCTTAAAAGGCCCTTCCGTGTTTGTTTTCAGCAAGAGACAACCGAAACTCTGAGATAATAAAAGTTCCATTTCCGGAAGAAATTGCTCATGATTGATCCCCTTGAAGAACATAGTGGCGCCACCAAAATGTGAATAGTTGTAGAATCTTGGAAGATTCTTTGAAGATCAGAAAACTCTTGAAAACTCTATCAGATCAGAACTCGATGGCGCCGTTCAAATGATGTTTGTGTCGGTATGGACTACCCAGGCGGAATAGTGACTACGGCGACGTTAGGTCCAGTGCTCCTCAAAAGTGCCTAATTTGATCACCATTTCGCATGGTCTGTCTCACAAGATGATTGAAGCGGCATGCAAATGAAATTGACATCATGGGACTCCTGGCCAACTCACGAAAAAACGCGACTCTAATGCACTTGGTCAAATGGGTATTTGGTGCCGAAATAGAATAAGGCCAAAGTAGTATGTCTCAGTCAATGCTGTGTGAGGAGCTTGCATCTAGGGAACAGCAGGTGGCCAGTGTCAGGATTTGTAAATGATCACTCGAAAAGTATCAGCTCAAGACGAAATCCCATGGGACTGTACCGAACTGGACTTATTTGAAAGGTTTCTCTGGTAGCAGGTCATATATATA